TTAGTTCCTCGTTCTTCGCACGGTCAACTGTGCGCCTAGCCATTTTGGCTTGCCATCCTGGCCTCTTATCGCGCCTACTTGCGCTCGTTGGCCTCGATGGCGGTACTGGGGTCGCCCCGTGTGCTGCTGCGCCGCCGCTGTCGCTTTACTCTGGGCCGTAGGGACCAGCTGCCCTCGGATAAGCGCCCGCCGCTGCATGCACGTCAGACCCGCCATTTCACCCAGAAGAGGTGCACGCTACATACTGGAAATGAGTCAGCCACAAGGACACTCATCCCAAGGCGGTTGAGCCGTGGTGATGTGGTGCACGAGTCCGAGTAGTAGTAGTAGTAGTAGTAGTAGTAGTAGTAGTAGTAGTAGTAGTAGTAGTAGTAGTAGTAGTAGTAGTAGTAGTGGTGGTGGTAGTAGTAGTAGTAGTAGTAGTAGTAGTAGTAGTAGTAGTAGTAGCAGTAGCAGTAGCACTAGTAATAGTAGTAGTAGTAGTAATAGTAGTAGTAGTAGTAGTAGTAGCAGTAGTGGGAGTAGTAGTAATAGGCGTTGTTGTTTTTGGTAGTAGTAGCAGTGGCAGTAGTAGCAGTAAGAGTAGCAATGATAGTAGTACTTAGTAGTGGTCGTCGTAGCAGTAGTAGTCGTAGTAGAAGTAGTAGCAGTAGTAGTAGTAGTGGTAGTAGCAGTACTAGTAGTAGTAGTAGTAGTAGTAGTAGTAGTAGTAGTAGTAGTAGTAGTAGTAGTAGTAGTCGTAGTAGTAGTAGTAGTAGTAGTTGCTGTTGTTGTAGAAATAGTAATAGTAATCGTAGTACCTGTACTAGCACTAGCACTAGAAATAGCAGTAGTAGTAGCAGCAGTAGTAGTAGTGGTGGTAGTAGTAGTAGTAGCGGTAGTAGTAGTAGTAGTAGTAGTAGTAGTAGACAAAGTAGTAGTAGTAGTAGTAGTAGTAGTAGTAGTAGTAGTAGTAGTAGTAGTAGTAGTAGTAGTGGTAGTAGTGGTGGTGATAGTAACAATAGTAGCAGTAGTGGTAGTAATACCCGTAGTAGTAGAAGTAGTAGTTGTAGTAGTAGGGACTAGTGGAGACAGCGAAACTAGTGAGCGTAGTGGTCCAAGCTGCACGCTAGTACTAATGTTAGTAGCGAGGGTGGCTGGGGTAGTAATATGATGGGCAGATGCATCAATGGTAAAAGCAAAATCAGCCAGCGTAGATTCAAAATGGGTTAGACGACTCAAGTCAAGGAATCAGAGGAATCGAACATGCCTGAAACCCGAAACCCAGCAAGCAAGCAAGCGTACAAGCAAGCGCGCAAGCAAGCAAGCAAGCAAGCAAGCAGACAGGCAGGCAAGCAAGAAAGCAAGAGTGCAAGCGCGCAAGAGTGCAAGCAAGCAAGCAAGCAAGCGCGCAAGCAAGCAAGCAAGCACGCAAGCAAGCAAGCATTGAACCTCATAAGGGGGTGCCATTGGAAAAAAAAAAAAAAGGGGGAGGAGGGTGCCATTGGAAATAATAAAGGGGGTGCCATTGGAGAAAGGAGGGGGGGCTAAAGACCAATTACCTATGATGAGCTAGGACTCCTATAGGGCAAGCCTGCTTGGATAATTACTTATGATGAGCTAGGACGCCTACAAGGCGGTGGCATAGGAGTTAGGAGTGGGGCATAGGCATAGGCATAGCCATAGACATAGGAATTGGGGGGGCATAGGAATGAGGGGGGGGGGGGCAACAGACCAATTTATAAGGTTCGGATAAGAACTCCTATAGGGCAAGCCTATTTGGAGAACAATAAAAATCATGAATCAGACGCCTAATAGTGGCGATGGATGACGCATATGGAACAAAGAATGATCAGCACAGGCAGGACCACCACCACAACCACCACCGCCCCTAGATCCAAACAGGACCGTGAAGATTAACGAGTCGTCGCGATGGTCGTGATGGTGCTGGAAGTGGTGGTATGAGTCGTAATAGTAGCAGTGGAAGTGCCAGTGGTTTTCGTGGCGTGGTCGTAGTAGCAATGGACATAGCAGTGTCAACCGTCGTAATAATATAGTAGTCGTACTAGTCGTCTCAGCAAAGGCTGCAACAGTAATGGTAGCGGTGGTGACGACTAAGCACTCTGCTCCTACGAAGTAGTAGCACGGAGGAGAGGATAACTTAGAGGCAGAAGCAGCAGTGGGAAAATATGCCACATCCACGACTATGGCGGTGGAAATGGAAGTGGTCGTAATGGAGAAGGCTGTGGCGATAGTGTTCGCACTTGCGATACCATACTACCACAAACACTACCGCAACCGTCCACCGCTCCATAGCTTAGACGGGGGGTGGTGTAGGAGTAATAATAGTGACAGTGGCCCGGATGCTATTGATGGGAACAGCATCATTCGCACTAGTTGCAGCCGTAGTAGCAGTAGAAGCAGTAGTAGCACTAGTAGCAGTAGTACTACGACTACTACCACTACTGATACTACTACTACTACTACTACTACTACTACTACTACTACTACTACTACTATTACTACTACTACTACTACTACTACTACTACTACCACTACTACTACTACTACTACCACTACTACTACTACTACGACGACTACTACTACTACTACTACTACTACTATTACCACTAGTAGTAGCAGCAGTAGTGGCAATAAAAGTAGCCGTAGTAGTAGCAGCAGTGCTACGAGAAGTAGAGGTCGCGGTAGTAGTAATAATGGTAGGAGTAGCGCAAGTAGTAGTAGTAGTAGCAGCAGTACTAAAAGTAGCAGTAGTAGTAGCCATCGTAGTAATAGCTACAATACGAATAAGAATAGTAATAGTAATGGTAATAGTAAAGTGATAATAGTAATAGTGGTAGTCGTATTAGTATTAGTAGTAGTAGTAGTAGTAGTAGTAGTCGTCGTCGTAGCAGTAGTAGTAGAGTAGTAGTAGTAGTAGTAGTAGTAGTAGTAGTAGTAGTAGTAGTAGTAGTAGTAGTAGTAGTAGTAGTAGTAGTAGTGGTAGTAGTAGTAGTCGTAGTAGTAGTAGTAGTAGTAGTTGTTGTTGTTGTTGTTGTTGTTGTAGTGGGTGGTAGTGGTAGCAGTAGAAGTAATAGTAGTAGTAGTAGCAGCAGCAGCAGTAGCAGTAGTATTAGTAGTACTAGTAGTAGTGGTGGAAGGAGTAGTAGTAATAACAATACACTATCAGTACCAGAAGCAGCATCATAATCAATATCAAAATCAAAATCAGTACTAGTCGTGGTAGATAGATGCAGTTGCAGTCGTAAATTCATTCCTCACGACAGAAATCAACATGGACATCCCGCCCAAAGGAGATCCTATTGTGATCTCTTCGGGCGGAGGGCTCCTAATGTCGGTTCGAATTCCCCCATGGAGTCCCCTGGGCGGTCTGGGGTACCTCTTGGGCCGTCTTGGGGCCCTCATGAGGCGTATTGGGGTCCTCTTGGGGACCTCTTTGGGACCTCTCGGGCCGTCTTGGGGCTCTTTCGGGGGCTCTTGGGTCGTCTTGGCCGATGTCAAAAAAAACAATGAATACTGGAAAATGCCCGCTTACCCGAAAGGAATGTGACGATTGTTGTCTCTTCGGGCCCTCTTGGGGGTCCTTGGGGGTCTTTTGGGCCGTCTTGACGCCATCTGGGGCCGTCTGGAAGCCGCCTTGGCCAACCTGTGACCTATGTGGATCCTGCCCGGAAGCTCCAGGGGGGTCGGGGAAGTTCTGGGGAGGCTCCTGGGAGACGCCAAGGAGGCCCCCCGGGGTGTAGGGAAGACTTCGTGTATAGCAGGTGTCCCTGGTGGTCCCCGGCCCGGGAGCCCCTGGGGCCACGTTCCCGGCATGTGTGAAAGATATGTCCGTGTAGCTAACGCCAACCTTGGGCTTGCTGTGACGGCACGTCGTCCGCTACGAGCTCAGCTGCGTGCAACGCCTCCTCCAGGGGCGAGCGTGTCTGTTCCTGCCGTCGCCTCACCTCTCCTCATCTCCTCCTCCTCCTCCTCCTCCTCCTCCTCCTCCTCCTCCTCCTCCTCCTCCTTCTGCGCTTCATCCCCTTCTTTCTCCCCACCCAGGGCCATCGATTCAGAAGGATTCCTCCTCCCCCTCTAGCTGCAGCTCGGGGAAATCGATTCGGTGGCGGTGGCGGACTGATGCAAGAGGCCGCACACCCTCCAGGAAGGCCTGGGAAACACCCAGGACCAACCAAGAACAGGTGTTCATCAATAGGTTTTGAATCAGCCTGCAACAGAAGACAATACCGTCGGACCTTCATAGCTGGAATTGGCGTACGCTGGCGTTCAATAGCCAACAGCTGCGCACGAAGTCTAACAGAGGGAACACCTCCGTCGACTTGCGGCTGCGCTTGAGGCGGAGGGGCAGTCCGTCTCCAACACCAGGACAAGGTATCCTTGGACGATCGGACAATCCCATCCTCATCTTTGCTCACACATGTTGATGAAAGATGCAGTGACCTCGCCATGAACTAAAGAACGTTCATAAATAATGGCCTGCGGGTATCGTTGCGGAAGGCTTCACGTACAAGCTTGACGTCTTGAATATGCCCACCGACCGCAGAAGACAAAGCGATGTGAGCCGAACATGGGCCCGGCGGGTTTCGCGAGTCGCCGCACGTGCAAGGAGTGGAAAGACTCCTCCGCGTGCAGAGGAAGGGCTACCGAACATGTATGCTCCGTCTGGCCAGGGTAGGAGGAAGCAGACGCGCATGCTACATCTCTACCAGCGAGCACGATCTCGTCAGGCTGGAGGTCAGGCCTAAAACCGTACTGAAACTCGGAAACGAAGGGAATGAGGAGGCGGGGGAGAAAGGCGAGGAGAGGGCTGAGGAGGAGGCAGAAAGAGGAGGGGCAGGGGGAGCACAAGGAATGGGAAGAACAGGGTAAACAGAGGAGAAGGACGAGGACGACGGAAACGACGACGACGACGACGACGAGGGCAACGAGAAGGATGAGAGGCTCGGGAAGATGGATGGGGGGCGGCCAGGAAGAGGCCCACCACCCGCCAAGGCATCCTCACCAGCCGCCGCGGCCCGCCGCGGGAGCAGCGCGGAGCCTCGCGGGCGGGGACGGGGGCCAAGCAGACTCCATGCGGTCTGACTGCGATTTCGGGAAGAGGGCAGCAGCGAAGAGCCCCCTGGAGGCCCCACAGAAAAGAAGAAAATAAAAAAAGAAAATAAAAAAACAAAAAAAAAAACAACAACAAAAAAAAAAAAAAAAAAAAAAAAAAAAACTGGCGATAAACTGTCGTCGTCGAACCTCGAATCTCGATCCTCGAACCGCGAACCTCGGCCATCATTCTCGGTATTCTTCTTTGTAAAGGTTCTCGCTTTCCGAGCACTTTGGAGCGTGCGTGCCTGGGGGGACAAGTGCATGGCGTAGCGACAAGGAGAAGGACAGTTCGTGTATCGACCGCCTTTGAGGAAATCGTCGCTGTATCGGCGCCCCCTGGTCCACCAAGGGAAGGAAACAGGAGAGGGAATACACATGTCTCAGGCCAGCCGCCAAGAACGTCAGCGCGGAGCAGTCTCTGCCCCTTTCTGGGCCGTTCACGGGCGTCCTTGGCATCCTTCCGATCGGGCTCGGTAACGACAGTACTCGGCAACCGATCAAGTAGCCATGACTACAGAAGCGCGATTTTTGTCCCGACTTCGTTCTAAATGTGTCACCCCTCGGGCCCGACTGTGCAAAACCGCGTACACGTGGGACAATGTGTTGCATCGATTAAATCGCAACGGCGTCACCGCGTGGCTACCTTCTGCCACGAGCAACACGTGCACACAAAACAAATGGAACAAAAGTGCGTCATTCACATCGGCCGCCCACCGGGTTTCTAGCCCAAGCCCCCTCCGTCCGTGAAACTCTTGCAAACTGTAAAACGAATGTGCGGGGCGTTAAGGCGAGAGCCACAAGTTTGAAACGTTCCGCCCTCCATCTGTGAAACTGTTGCGCATTCTAGCTTGAGGATCATAAACGGTGAGAACGCCTCAGGCGAAACGCCAGGCCCGCCCTACCGACGCGTCTCGGGGTGCGACCGGGAGGCAGCCTTCACAAGGATCATGGGTGAAGAAGAAGGTGGGTTGGGGGAGGAGGGAGGAGGGAGGACAAGGGACGAGGGAGAAGGGAGGATGGGAAAGAAAAGAATCGCCCCCGAGACCTCGCGAAGGCGTCTCTGCCTCGCGAGGGGGTGGGGACGCCGCGGCGGCTGGACGCCGGGAGGGCCCGGCCTGCCGCCGCCTGCGCCCTCGACGGATCCGCCGGCCGGCGCCTCGGGGAGGCGGGGCCGAACTGGCGCGCGGCCAAGAGCCGGCCCGCGTGGGCGGCGGGGGGTCCTGCTCCTTCCCCTCCTGCCGCCTTGCTCTTTCCTCCTCCTCCCGTCCCCTCCTCCTCCTCCTCCTCCTCCTCCTCCTCCTCCTCCTCCTCCTCCTCCTCCTCCTCCTCCTCCTTCTACTCCCTACTTTTCCTCCTCCTCGTCCTCCTCTTCCTCCTCCTGTTCCTTCCCTCCTCCTCCTCCTCCACCTCCCCCACCTCCTCCCCGTGCTCTCTCATATTCCTCCCTCCTCCTGCTCCTCCTCCTCCTCCTCCTTTTCTTCCTCCCTGGTAGATTCCTCCTACTCTCATCCCCCTCTTCCTCCTGCCCTTGTATTATTCACATGTTCGCTATCAGTATTACTATTAGCAGTAGTATTACTATTCTTATGGGAGTATGAGTAGTATTAGGATTATTGGTATGTTCAGTATTCTTCTTAATCGTATAAGTATTACTAGTATAGTAGTGGTACTACTAGTACTACTACTACTACTACTACTACTACTACTACTACTACTACTACTACTACTACTACTACTACTACTACTACTACTACTGCTACTACTACTACTACTACTACTACTATTACTACTACTACTACTACTACTACTACTACTACTACTACTACGACTACTGCTACGAATAATACCACTACTACTACGACTACCACTACTTATACGACCGCTACTACTAACAATACGATTACGATTAGAATGTTTAGTAATAGTAGCTAGCAGTAGTATCGTATTCACAAGACTAATATTATGGATGCGATTATGAATATTATTATGAGTAGTGGTAGTAATCGTCATATTAGTATGATGATTCCTATGGTATGATTATGATTCGTGCAAGTTCCTCTTAGTATGTTTGATGTTATCGTTCTTGGTAGATCGGTAGCATTAAAGAATTACTCATCTGAATATGTTCCTCATAAGGATAGTAATAGTATTGTCAGTGCTGTTGTTCTCCTTTGCGATATTATGAAATTCCTACTACTTGGTATGATTCGTACAGTCTTTTCTTCATAGTATGATGGGTCGTTATACGTTTTATCACTAGTCTCATTACTAGTATTCGCATTGTCAGTTTTACTTTTATGCTTGGAAACCATATAACTATGTTTCAATAGTATTACAATGACTAGCATTCGTGTTATTATTGTTACTGTGTGTACGATCAGTTCTTATTCGTCGTATTACTACTCCGACTATGAATGACTTGATTGTTCATATTAGTTGTAGTCGTACGATTAGTGTGATTATCAGTATCAGTATTGTCGGCTTTCATTAGTAGTGATGTGATTATTGTGTACTTGCTACGATTCCCTTTATTAGTAGTGATAGTGTCATGTGTCGTTGTATGGCTCTTCCTCTTCTTACAAATATCAGTTGTATTATTCGTGATGGTATCATTTCGAGTACTGCGACATGCTTATTAGTATCACTGGTCTGTCTCTTCTTAGTAGTCGAATTATTCATAATAGCAGCACTCGTAATATTATTGCTAATACTCGTATAGTAGCATTTGAGTTCGTGTTATTATTAGTCTTATATGTCATCTTACTGTGTTCCAACTATGCTTAGTGGTACTATGATTAGTTGTAATACGATTCGAGTTGTCTTTGGTATTGGTCGTATGGTTATACTCATTCTTCTTATGATACTTATTAGTATGCCCATCGAGGGTCGAGGTCGAGCATCGAGACTCAAGGTTCTCAGACGACTTTCACCATTGTGGAAGGCCTCTGTGAGGCTTCTATTCGACACGACTGCATTACTGTCAACGTTGTGGCCAAAACGCACCCGCGACGGAGAGGGAGGAGGAGAACACAGAGGTGAAGGAAGATCGAAGATCAGATCGCATCCTGCTCCTCCTCTTCCTCCATCCGCCTCCTCCGCCTCCTGCTCCTCCTCGTCCTCCTCCTCCCGCCCCCCTGGACCGCGCCGAGGCTCGAGGGTCGAGGATGAATGATCCAGGTTCCTCCCCTTACCCTCCTGCTCCTCCCCCTTCCCTCCTCCCTCCATGCCCCCTCCCCCTCACCGGCGGGCGGCCCGGCGTCGGGGACATCGACGGCGGACCCCGGAGAGGGGCCGGGCGGCGCCGCCGCGGGCGCCGCGCCGAGCACGCGAGGGCGAAGAGGAGCCGAGGAGGAGCCGATGAGGAGCCGAGGAGGACTGAGAGCGCGCGAGGAGCCGAGGAGGAGCCGAGGAGGAGCCGAGGAGGGCTGGTGGGAGCGCACGAGGAGCCGAGGAGGAGCCGAGGAGGAAACGAGAGCAGAGCGAGCGAGCGAACGACGCGCGAGTCGTCGACGCTGCACGGGGACGGGGCCGACTCGCAGCCTGCGCGGGGCGGCCGCGGCCGCTGACTCTCCCGTCGGCCTCGGGAGCTCTCCTGCACGGCGCTGCCCAGGAGGAGGGGGAAAGCGGAAGGAGGGGAAGGACGAAGATCACGCCGACGACGGCAGCGGCGGCGACGAGCCGGACGAATAGTCGCCGTCCGGCGTCGTGCACTCGCGAACGCCCGCGCGACAATCGTTCACGCGCGCTCGTTCCGATCACTGCGAACCGCGCGCCTGGCCGACGTGCGCGACGCAATCTGCGCGCAGCCGAAAACGTCCACGCTCGGCCTGGTCCGCGGGTGCACCGCGGAGAGCCCTGGGGAACCCTCCCCACTGTCCTTGGGCACGTTTGGCCGGCTTTGAACGACACGACAAAAACTCGATCCCGAGGATGGCGACGACAAACGACGGTGACTGCGGCGGCGCCAGCTACGACAATGTCTGGCTGGTTCAGCGTCGGGGACCAGATCGGGGATCCGATGATTCTGGAGCAGGAGAGGATCGGCGGGCTCGTGTGCCTCCTTCGGTCGGCCTTCCACCAGCTGCTGGGTCGGACTCTGCGTGAGGGCCTGGTCGGCTACAGGCTCGGACCGGAAAACTTTGAAACATCACTTTGCGCCGCAGGGCGAGAGCAGAGCTACTTGTGACAAGTGTTGCCTTGGCGAGCGCCACCGTTAGCAGCAACAGCAGCACATCGCCAACCTACCCCATCCACTACCACTATACTGACCACATACACACAAACACCATGGGGCACACAACAAGCGTGGAAGAAGCGAGGGTCCCGAATTACAACGACTTACACCTCCAGCAGAAGGGCACTCAACGATCAAATATCGAGGGACGAGGATCGAGGATCGACGGCCGAGCTGGCTTTCGGAGACTTTAGCGGAAGCGTTGGATTGCGTTCGGAGGTCTCTGGGAGCTTCCGGAGGTTTTCGGATGTTTTCGAATGACCTCGTTCATCTCCAGATTGTCGTCAGTGGATTTTGGACCAGAAGTCCTCACCCCTTGCCGGCGTTTCAGGGTCGTGGACCGCTCGCCACCAGCACCGCCCATGCCTCTCATCATTCCTCTCTCTTCGCCCTGCTCATCCTCCCCCTTCTTCCTTCGCCCGGTCCTCCTCCCCCCTGGCCCACCCCCCTCTTCCACATGATCCCAGCGGCCTCTCCATTCCCCCCATCCCTGCCCCCTCTCCCTTCTCCTCCCGACATCTCCACTGCCCCGCCATTCCTCCACATTCCCACCTCGCCTCCGCCTTCCCCCTACAATCTCTCTTCCCCCTGAATGTTCCGCACCTCCTCCCGCACCTGGCCACGCGTCGAAGACACGAAGGGGCCCCGTCAGATAAAAACGGCCAAAACGATATAAGCCACTCATTCCTCCCTCCCTGGGTCCGCGTCAACGATCTCCCTCGTCGTCGTCCTCGTCATGCCTCCTCCTCCTCCTCCTCCCTCTCCTCCTTCTCCTCTTCCTCCTCTTCTTCCTCTTCCTCATCATCATCAACCTCCTCATCCTCCGCCATCCATTTTCAATTCCTCCTCGCCACACCACTGGCCACGTGGGCACCAGCGGGACAGGTTGCTCGACTCGCCTGAAACCCCCTCGTCACCTGCAATGACTGGGGTGTTGCTAGAAGCTAGCCTGGCCCAAGGTGCCCCCAGGATTTCCAAGAGGGCCCCCCTGGCCTCCAGAGCACCCCTCACGAGGCCCAGGGGGCCCGGGGCTCCAAAATGGAGCAACAAAGTGGGGGTACCTTGGGCCAGGGGCACCTTTAGCAACCCCCGAATAAGTCTCGAAATGACAGACAGTCGCACGGACGTAGTGCAAGCCGTTTTCGAAACGTGGTTATCGCCGTAGCGCCGCACGCGTTCCTCTCACAAGCTTCCTGCACCTGCACGGATGGACATGAGGTGGCTTTCAGCATATCGCTATCGCCTTCATTCCGCGCGCATTTAGGTTGATATTTTCCAGCAGCGACACGACAAAAATTAGGGTCGTACTTACAAGGAGGCTCTAGCCGTAGCGACGCGCACATTCGACGTAGAGACTTGCACCAGTTACGCGGATGTAAAGTGACTCCCTTGTTCAACGTGTGGATGTTGGTGGGACCCTTTTCAAAGTCCGAGGTGCGACACGATTCCACCGATGGAAGGCGCCTCGATGCTCGAACGCGGACTCTCGCTAGAGACGTCCTAGAGAACACCAGGCGCGTGAGCTGTGGAACACTTACACGGCTCCAATGCAGTCAGACCAAGTCTTAACACCCCCGTCTCGTTGTCCCCTCAACGAATCGGGTTTCGCATCTGACCCTCATGCCTACCAGGGGGAGGGCGGAGGAGGAGGAGGAGGGGGAGGAGGGGGGAGGGGGGAGGGGGGAGGGGGGAGGGGGGAGGGGGAGGGGGGAGGATGAGGAGCTTTCGTCTCGAAGCGGGGCGATCGCTCGAGGCCTCATCAGCGTTCAGCACCGCACGTGCGAAGACGAGGGGTACCTACACGCATGGTGGTGGCCATGCCGTCAAGGAAAAACAACACGGGCAGCATCGGCAGCAAGTATTCCGGCAGAGGGCGGCTCAAAGGGAGACCCCGATGGAGAATGTCTGGTCTTGGGTCGGGCACGTTCCCTCACAGGCGGATGCGCGGACAAACACACAAAAAAAGTCCAACAATGCTCACAGATTGGTCGACATGACCGAAAATCGTCCCCATACGATTGTTCGACTATGTTGGAATATTCCTCCTGCAGAAGGACGTGCCCGACTCAAATCTGGTCCCTCGCAGCGGGGGGCCCTCGCCCAGACGGCGGGCCCGCGGGACACGCGCACGTCCTCCCGAGGGAGGCGCGCTCCCCGAGGGGACACTGGAACAGCTGTGGGAACTCGAGGGGCCCAGGGACACGCAAAGAAATTTGCAGTCGCAAATCCCAGGATTCCCTATACTTCCCTATGTTATCTGGGATTTCGTCTTCCCCCCCCCCACTTCCCATAGGTTCCCACATGTTCCAGGGAATCGACGATGAAGTGTGTCTGCGTGTGTTTTCCCTCCCGAAACTTGTGGGGGACAGACCTGGGACGGACGGGAGGGCGCAATGAAGCATCATTAAACCATCCTGGTGTTATCATGACTCTGGCCAGCCTCCTCATCGTCCTGCTGCTCGGAATCTCCTCCTGCTCCTGTTCCTCCCCATTTTTCCTCCGACTCCTGTGCCGTGCGAGGGATCATGTAGCCGGCCTCTGCACACCGAAAGGAAACGCAACCTCCCTGATCATCCCTGTCAAGATCACCGCCCGCCTCCCTCAGGATTCGGACGCCTTACCGAGGCGGGCGCAAGGCATGCAACGACGGCGCGTGGGCAAACGCGGTGGTGTGAAGCGCCATGGCTTGCCAGCGGCCACCGGCCTAAACGGTGCAGCCCTGTGGCGCAGCGCACCAAAAAACAGCCTGCGACGAAAAGTCGAGCCTTGAGGCGGCGGTTCGCGAGGGGGCAACAAGGATCAGGTAGAAAGATGACGGAGAAGGAATGGAGGAGGAAGGGGAAACAGGGCGGGGAGGCGGGGAGAGGAAGAGGAAGGAGTCAGAGGTGGACGCGGAGGGGCAGCAACAGCAGGAGGAGCAGGAAAAGCAGGAAAAGAAGCAGGAGCAGGAGAAACGGGGACCGTTCACCCCCCCTCCTCCAGCGCACAGCAAGTCAAAGCGTGGCGATTGCAGCTCCCTTGGACTCCCTACATCCGGCGTATCCAGCTCTGCTGCATGTTCTCCATCTTTGGCTTAGCGTGGCTGCTGAGTGAATTATATTAAGATCACCTGGTTGCTCTGCAAGCACTTCCAGACTCGTCAGCATGCCCGACTTCGCCCCGGGGCCCGAACAGCCAGGCGGCCACGCCGGGTCCGCAACAACAAAACACTGTAGCGCCCGGCTGTCAGGATCGACCCGGGGCGCTCCGCCAGAATATGACCAGATCCACTGCCGCTGGGTCGTGTTCCGAGGGCTCGGGGAGCGGTGGACATGGCCATCTGCCCGCCCTCGCGGGCGGGCAGATACACGTATCCACCGCTCCTCGAGATCTCAGGGCACGACTCCGAAGCGGTGGATGTGGATATGAGCTGGCGGTGGACGGGGCGCGCGTCGCGAGGAAAGCACTGAGCTGGAGGTCCAGGCCAGGCGCCAGGGGGGGGGGGGCGGGTGCGGGCGGACGGGCAGGCCGCGCGGTTGGCGGCCCGGAGGCCCCCCCTGACTGCCAGGTTTGGGGGGGGGCAACTTCTGGGAGGTCTTCGTGAGAACGAGCACACGCAGAAAGCATCTGTACACCACCGCCCGGTCTGCACGCAGAGTTAAGCGGGACTGTGCCAGATTGGGCAGGTTCTCGACCATGGACAGCTACCAGCGCGGATGCTGCATTTCACCTCCCAGATGTTGCATGCGAACCAGGGGCGGCCCTGGCCCAAGGTTGACAGGGAACGAGAGGGAGGGGGGCAGAGCTCAGGGGAGAGGAGGGAGGGCGGGGGGAGGGAGGGGGGGAGGGAGAGGAGGAGGAGGAAGAAGAAGAGGAGGAGGAGGAGGAGGAGGAGGGGAACGAAAGGGGGGGGAAACACTGACCTAGAAGGAAGCTGGAAAAATTCAATTCGAAATTACATATAACATAGAGACATGATGGCCAGAGGAAGAAATCTGCAAGACCCACAAATACCTGTTCTGGTGATTTCTCGGTCTGCGTATGTGCAGCATTCTCCGTGCGTGCAAGGCAAACCCTCCGCCCAGTGCTATATCTGCATGACTGGCCTCTCTGGTAAGGAGTGTGAGCCCATCCTCGGCCCAGGATAGGCCCAGCCCGGATCCTCATCATTATGTGGACATCCTGGCGCCCCCCGAACAAGGAGAGGCAGGCTGGCCCGAGAGTACAGGAGGCTCCCGTGCGCGGGCGGCCAGGACTGCGAACCGGCAGGCACGGGAGGACCTCATCCTCGTCTCCTCCTCCTCCTCCCCCCTCCTCCTCCTCCTCCTCCTCCTCCTCCTC